GTTCCTCTGCTGCATTTCCAGCTCCTTTACTTGTGAGACACTCATTTCCATAATCTGTACAGAGTAGCAGTTGTTCTTCCGACTGTTGGTGTGTGTTAGGTAATGAGGTCTCTTTCTTTCGGGTCTCTGTGTGATTCCTGGCTGTAGGGAGTGTTAGAGAGGAGATTATCCAAGGCTGAGCTGAAAGATTTGGTATTTGTGCCTTTGCAAATCTCCTTCTCTTTGCTTTCTCAGGCCGGCAACCCAACTTCTGAGTCCTAAGCCCCATTTGGACTGAGAGCGAGGTGACCAGCAGGTGGCAGTTTCACCCAACTAATACAAATGCGTTAGGCAACAAAGAAATTTGTATGTAAATATGACCGCAAAAAATGATTTCTTGTGCTTTTACCTAAATTATAGCTTTTGCTTGTGCTTCATCGCCCCCTTGAATGATATTGACGACAGAATTTCAGGACAATGACAACTGCCATGAAGCAGTAAATATGGCTCTTAATGGAGTCGTTGGTGCAGTGTTGGACTCTAAATCAGTACTGGTTTTCATTCAGGAAAGAATTGCTGTAAGTGTATAGGGACTGTTTATTTTAGACAAGTGGGTCAGATAATTCAAATGTGGATATGCACCTCTGCATCCAAAGGCTGGTATATGTTTGAGTAGCTTTCTGAATGTGCCTGCTGCAAGCTTTCCACTGACTTGCAGAAACTGCAGATTACATCTCAGTAAATCCTGACTGAGCTGCAACATTTGCTCAAAGAAGTTACTTTTCTAAACACAAAATTATAGTTTTGTTTCATGGCATGAGAGAAATTTGTCACACTGGTTTCTTTTGAATGCCAACAGTTTGCTTTTGGACAAAATACAACTTTACACTGTCACAGTAATACCAAAAATGAAAAGGTATATATACATGGAGAACAGTGACTATAACAATAAAGGATCCACAAAGACTGACCGAAGTCTTTAGTGCAGCATGTTACTGGCTTCTATGCAGGACCACTGTAAAAGGAAACCTGTTTGAGAGTCCATTGGGAACATGGAGCAAACCTTTATGTTGCATCACTTTCATAACTGATGAATTCCCAAGCTTTCTTGCTGTCTCACAGTGCCAACTTCCAGAGCTAGTCATGCGATTTGTGTGCATAACATTCAATGATATTCTTAATCCTCTTTTCTCTTCATGAATCATTTGAGATCTTTTGATTTCTGTCAAATTCAGGTTTATTTTGGGGGTGGTTCTTCGTGTAATTTCTCAACAGATAGCTTGGATGGTTGTTTTTCACTGTGTTGGTGTGCACAAACTTTGGCAGCCTGTAAGTCACCAGACTAGTGTTACTGTAGGTGGGGAAGTTACCAAGATGCCTTCTCCTTTCACCCCTTAGCACCATCTGCTTTAGCAGCCACTATGTGACATGTGAAAGGAGGGAGGCTGTGCAACTGCTCTCAGTGCTAGCCTACCCAAGATCGTCTGTCAGCATCGTAGTCAGAGGCAAGCTTGCAAGATGCACAGCATAAACAAGCTAGTTCAAACACCTAACTGCAGAGAGAAGCTGCAGTGAGAAGGACTTGAGTACACAGTAGCATGCCTGTGGTCCCAGGCTAGCTTTGTGAGCAAGCACAGAGGCTTAGGCTTGTGGGACCATCACTGTTCTTGGTACTCTTGCTGGCTCAGTCAGCATTAGATCGCATCTCACTTGCAGGTGCAGTATGGACGCAGACTCTGTTGTGTGCTATTGTTTCTGTTGCCTGAGTTGGTACTGGAAACTTGAACTAGATGTGGCTGCTACTCACAGACAAACACCTGAGTGTCTGAGGAAAATGGGTAGGCTGCAAGCCGACAGTGCTGAACGTGGCCTCTGTGTGTGAGCACCAAGGACAGGGTAGATCTTAGACAATGTGTGCATGATCACTACAAACAGCTTGAATATTTAGCTGTAAGAAGTGATGGGGTGTTTTTGGTTGGGTGGGTAGGTGGGTTTTGTTGTTGGGTTTTTTCTGTTTGGGGTTGTGGTTTTTTTTGCAGGGGGTTAAAGCAGTCACAACTTGGAGCTCAGGAACAGGCCAGATGATCTCTCAAAGAGTATGAAGTACAAAAAAATCCTGGGAAGATATCTTCTAGAACTTACTCTGTGTTAGAAAACAAGTGATTGTTCATGGGAAACTCTCATTTAAGTGCAGACATGGTCTCAGTGTGAGAAGGATGCTTGGCTCAGGATTTTTACTTTCATTTCAGTCTAGAATTCAGAACTTTCTTGAGAATGCTGGGGAACAGCTTCACTTAGGCGTCTGTGTGCAGAAACTGTGAAGGATTTCATGTTCTCCTTTGCACCTCATGTTAGGCCCGATCAGTATGAGACATCTTCTTGTGTGAAAAAATATGTGCAGTAATCCCTGGAATGGATGTAGAATGTCCCAGGTTCAGATCCTCACTGACTGAGAGGTCAGGAGGGGCCGTGGTGATTTACACCGCTCAAGGACTTAATCTCTAGGGCTGAGCATATGTGAAGGCTGCATCATTTGTTCCTTATCAAAGCTGAGGTATGAATCAGAACTTGTTTCAGAGGGCAGAGTGGGAGGTGTGAGGCTGACATAAAAACGAAGAAAGAAGAATCACTGAGTTTATGGTACGATGCTTGTTTCAGTGTTACAGTGTATATGTATATATAAAAGAAAATGTAATACACTCCTCGGGAAGTGCATCATTAGTAAGAAGCCTTGTATATAGAAGGTTATCCCCAAAAGTTTGGCCTCTGTTCCCGATCTTACTGAAGTTACTTTTTGGAAAATGGTTCTTGGTTACTACTCCAAAAGTTTATCTGGTAACTATATGTAAAATATGGAAATGGATTATTATCAGCCCCCAGAATAGCACTGGCTCTTTCATCTGTGGAAAACATGCCCTTTTTTGCAACTTCCTCATTTTAGATGTTTATTACAACAAGACTTTATCTGCCAGGCATTATATGTTTAAAGTATTGATATAAAAACATTGAAACTAGTTTAATCCTGACTTCATTTTATCCACTGCTTTTCGAAGCATAATAGAAGTATAGTTAAAGTTGAGATGATATACATATATAGATTTCTTAAATTAGAGTCTGTATATTTACTTTCATTTATTATGGAGCCTGCCTTCACATATATGTAAGACCTGGTGCGTATAAATCTAAGACTGTGCTTCTACTACCCTGCAAAGGACAAATGTACACAGAGTGTGTTCTGTGCTTAAAAATAAGGTCTTATACCTGGCAGAAAACTGCCTAAAAACTTCCTTTGCTATGCTGCTTTCCAGCAGCTCAGAATTCAGGTATTTCCAGAAGAAAACTGCAACAGAATACTGTTCTAAACACCTTCTGACATTGTCTCATGCACTGACTCAAGGCAAACTCCAGGAAGCTCCTCCAGTTTTTCCTGAGATTGCCTTGTGCTGTAAGCTTTAAGTAAATCTAAGTACATGATCAGGCCTTGGCTTTCAAAGAACATAATTTGTCAGGAAAAGATTTCCTGCTGCATTACAAGCATTTATCATAATTATACAAATTTAAGAGGCTTCTAAAATGAAGTTCCATTAGTTCAGGGAGAAATATGGTATCAGTTTTGTATTGGAGGTATTAGAATCCTTAAATTCTTCCTGCTTTGGTATAACCTAAATGCCACTGAAGCCAGTTTCAGTATTCTTCTTTGTTTCTGGCTACACTGGGCTATGAGTTAGACTCTAGCTTACCTGCCCATCTACGAAGTATTAGCTAACAGACTGCCTGCTATTACTAAGCACTTCAACAGCAGAGAGGATGTTACATTGTGTGGCTGGTAGTAAGCATTAATAGGGATATGCAAAACATGGCTAAACAATGTCCTTGTTTCTGAGAACTAAGGGGTAGCTGCTATTTTGGAGGGCAACAATGTGGAGGTACACATTCCTTATATCTTTCCACTCTGTATGCTTTGGGGTTTGCTTCTTCGTGGTTTCTGGACAAATCTTTGAGGGAATACAATTAAGCATTCATCTTCATTTGACTAATCTGAGGTTTTCCATTAAATGCAACCCTAATGGTATGTTGCAAAATGGTTGACAAATTGGACCTACTCCTGAGAGGTGTTTGGAATCCCTGAAAGGATGAAATACTTTCAATAATCTCCTCGCCGAATAACTGACCAGATTCTGCCTCATGCTTTATATGATAGAAATTCGTGAGAGCAAACCTTGGAGCTGTGGCAATTCAGTGATTGAAAACAGGAGAGGAAGGTAGGAATGCCAGAATCCTAAGCTCACTGTGCAGCTTCCAACAGATAGTTCTCTGGGAATGAAGCTCCTGACTAGGGGTTACTTGTGAAAATTCATCATGGTCTCATTTTTAGAGGAAAGAATGTTAAGAGATTTAAGAGGTTCATGCAATGGTATGAAGAGGTAAGATATCATAGTGCTATTATTAATGCGAAGAACATTCTTGAACCCCTGTGGCAAGCCTCTCCTAGGCTTTCTTTGGCTTTGCAAGCTATTTTGGAAGGGTCGCCTCTTATTTAGTAGGAAGTGTTGTATTTTGATACAAAACAAACCAGAAAAAGGCTTCTTTTTAAAATGACAGACACCCTCGTTTAATGAGGCTTGAAGTGTTTACAGGTGTTTCCTCATAAGTTCAAACTTAGTGGCCCCAGGGAGTTCAGATTCTCATAAGGCAGGAGCAAACACTCCAGTTTTGTATTTTAAAAGTGTTGCACATTTAAAGGGGCAGGTGGGCTAGTTCAGTCTTGCTGAAGTGTATGGAGACAATAGTTGTGCTATCTGGAACAGCAGAATGCTGTCTTATGTGAAACAAGACCATCCTTAGTGCCACAGAAGGTCAAAATCTTACTAAAAGACTCTTGTGATTTTTCTGCTGTACAGCCTTTTGGCCTAATCTTGCAGACCTATGGGAAAATCCCCATGAGTGGCAGATTCCAGGGTTGGTTGTTCAAATACATTTTGGTAATATCAAGTGCCTTCTTTGTGCATAATACCTTCCAGAGTTCACTGCTATTGGAACTGCTTAGCATCACGAAGAACAACATAGAGCAAGGGAAACTATAGAAGTGGTTGTGGTTGGAAGATGTGATGACATCACAGGGTTCAGCGGGAACATGGGGCTTTAAAAAAGCTCAAAGAAACATCCTGACAGTCAGTTATCACATCCCCGTAAAGGAGTCAAAGCACACGTTAGGTATTAAAAAGCCACCCATCTTCATCAAAGAGAGAAAAAAAGACTCCATCCTGACACAGAATATGCACTGGCAAAAATGTAAGTGACCTCCGATTTGTTTTTTCGTAACTGTGGTAATATCTGAAGATTGTAATGAATAAATGAGCATTAACATAGCATGGGAGATAATACTCATGAAGAGAGGCATGTCTCGAGAGGCAAATGATAAGGCATGATGCTAATTTTCCAGAAGGGATATTAACACAGGGCGGCATTGCTGCTTTGTTGGCATTCATCACTATGAATCAAGTGGAAGACTATGATTCATAAAAACAATAACAGGATGCAGGTATGATATCAAAGGTTACAGTGGTTACATACCAGAAAATTTTCCTTTTTAAAAGTGAAACCTGTGAGAAATCTTATATCTGTGCCTTTTTTGATATGTACTTTTTTCAACTAATAAAAAGATAAGGAACAAAGCAGTTGAGGGCAAAACAGTTATGACTTTACAGGAAATCAGTTTTCTTGTTTTCAAGATAATTTCACTCCTCTTGGCCCACCTTTGCTTGAATAGCTTACTGATCATAATACAGGTAGGTGTTTGCTGCTTACAAGTTATTAAGTCTCACTGTATGGCTCTGTAGATGATGTTCATTTTTGCAACTGTGTTACTGTCCTTTTCTGTTATGTTAACCTATGCTCTTACATTAACCTATAAATAAATAAATATACCTAAATGGAAGAAGCTAATTTCTTAAACATTTGCCAGGCACTTATATGATATGCTACTAACATTAATCTTCTTTATATAATAGTTCCTAAGTTGTTCAGAGGTCATTTTACTACACATACACCTTTCTGAGCTTATTAATGGTGAAGTCTGTTTTCTCTGTTACCCGTTTCTCCTGCCTTTTTCTCAGTTGAACACTCTGGAAGCTCAAATGTGTATTTGCGAAATTATATTGTAGACTGTAATGTGCTGTAGCAAGAAAAGCTGACTGCTTATTCAGTCCTGTTTCAATTTGTCTAGAAGCACTATGGCAACACACCTTGTTTCTCCATTTTATCTTGTGCTGTTTTCAGAATCTGTAGGTATATGATGTGGAACATACTGGAGGTTGATTAGGCTCAAGATTTGAATCTAATCTTCCATCTCAGAAGTCCATTAATGGTTTGTTTGGGGTTTATTTTCTGCAATGACAAAGCAATAACAACAACCTGATGTTTTAGGTAGGACAAAATTGGTAAATGGATTTAACTAAACTTCTTTGCATTTTTTCTTTGACACATGCAGCGCTTTCAAAAGTAGCAGAAATTACAAGCCTTCCTGAGAAGAGATCAAAACCTGTATCTTAATGTCAGCCATTCCCTGTTGATAGTTTCTAGGCAAGACAACTACTGGCCAATACCTGCCTGTCTCTCCGTACTCCCTGAGCTTCTCAAAACTGGAATCTCCTGTTATAGCAGTGCTTTCTGGCTCTTTGGAAAGCCTGGATGAGACACAGTATAACTGCCTTGATTTGACTTCTGTTTCTGAGGAAATCCTTTTCACACTGGCCAGATGAAGCAGACAGTGAAATGTCCAGTCTTCTCTCTTACTCCTGGGCTGGTTACTGGAGCAGCCTGCCATTATATTTGCTAAGACACAAAGGGCTGAGGCAGAATTTCTATAGGTGGCTCTCCCATCTCTGCGAGTCTCCTTTTAGTGTCAAGTGTCAAGACCTTTAAGTGTCTCTGGTGCACCTATATTTCCTGTTAGTGAGACCAGCTGTGGCCTTACATTTCCTACACCATCTGGTCCAAACCACCTGTGACCACATGGATGTTCCAGTGCCCACATGTGAGTCATTGGCTTGCTTTAATGTATAAATTGATTCGGATGCAATATGGGTGACCAGAGAACTTGGTTTGTGCCTGCATGAGCCCCTTAGGCTTATGGGAAAGCATAAAGGCTCTGCTCTGTTCCTTACTTAGGAAACAGGAGGAGATCTCTTCTGCCATGCAGCGAGTTTCTGTATAATTAAAACAAAAAGAAGTTACTTGGGTATTCTGGCAAAAGGGCATCCTGGATAGATAGTTAAACAGTAAGTCTGTGGGGAGCTTCCGAGGGGTGGGTGAAGCTTTTACCCAAGTACGGGACAATTATCCCATATTCAGTATAGAAAAAGATGGCTCTAATCCTGGCAAGAGCAACAGTTTTGTTTTGCACAGCTGTGGTACTGTGCTTCCAGACAGTCAGGTACAGGAGGCCTAGGTTGACACAGCCATGCACTCCCAGGAAAGGATGTCAGGGTTTGACATTTCTCACCCTGTGGTCTAAGTTGCTATATTATGCGGTAACCAGGCTAGATAAGCACAGGGCTGTGTACTCAAGCACGTGTAAAATAACTTTATTCCGCTTAGGATCTGTTAGAGACAGCAGGGATGTGGCAATAACTGAGCCAGAAAGAAGACAGAGGCACGAACTGAAATGCTAGTGGAAGTCAACTGGAATCAGGCATTTTATTTCCTAGGGCTTCTATGCAATTATCACACTATAGACCTGGTTTCTGGAGGACAGTGGATTAGAAAACCAGGACAATTATTAAGTCCAACTTTATATGCTTAAATAGCAGGATAACTGAGGAATATAGGCATATTAGTAGGTTATGTACCATTATGTTGCCAGGGGAAGCAAGGGACACTCTGGATGCTAAGGCAGTCCTGCCTTACTGCTGCAGGATTGGTTCCCTGGCTGAAGCTGCATTTGTAATTCCAGTTAAGTGCAAGTGTCAGCTTGAAAACAGAGGCAGAATTTTTTGTTCTATCTGTACCTGTGTGAAAGGAGAGTAGACAGAAGCCCTGGCCACCAGCTCCATCAGGATGCCTTGACTTGGATTAGAAGTGGCTTTAAGTAAAATAGGAGGGTTTAAAAGGGATGCTATAATTTCTGTATGTTTTTCCTAGCTATAAAAAAGTAAAACTCGGCAACAACAAAAAACCACCACAGAACAAAAAACCTCTTCCAAACGGAAAGCCCAAGAGTGACACAAGAACTCATTTAAATAGGTGTGACCTCAGCAGGAGGAATTTCTCATGGGCACCTTCTGAAGGGCAGTTTCCTGCTTCTTCAGGGGATGCTTCTGTAGAAAGCCCTACAGGAACAGAAGGAAAACTAACAGACCCTGCCCTCAGCTGCTGTGGTCAGAGGCTCTTGTCCTCCAGGGAGTCTCGCATGGCTGGCCCTGTGCACTGGAAATGATCCCCTCAGGGTCACGGCACAGTGCGCTGCTTTGCAGGAGTGGGGCCCAGAGCTTCCGCTCAGCAAAACCCCAGTGAGTGTCTCAGCCTGAAAGCATCCCCTCCCACTGCAGGAGCGAAGTGACTGGCTGGGGCTTCCCAGGTTTTGGCAGGATTCTGCTGAATGGAAACAGGCTTGCTCTGCAGGCAGGTAACCCTTCAGGGGTGGAGAGTCTCTAATGGACAGCACCAGCTACTTTCCTTTTACACGTCTCTGTGCAGATAGTTACCTCATGTTGTACTGTGAAAGCAAAATGAGTGTACCTTTCATGCAACTGGCTTCTGTTATGAGAGGCTGGAATTCTGCAAGAGTTTCACCTTTAGATGATGCTTTTGGCGAGGTGTGCTTGGATTCCCGTGCAACTGAGACACATGAATTTGCACCTTTGAAAACCTCTTCCCCAATGCTTTTTGAGTGCATAGAGGTTTTTCTGCCCACAACAGATGTGGGGCTCTGTACAGCCTTTCCGAAAGTATCAGGTAATGAGACTGAGAGGTGAAACTGCAATATACTGCCCCTTGAGTTTTAATTTTGGTAAAACCCCACTAGGAAAGATGGATAGTATGAAAGTTGAGCCCTTCCATGCTTTACAAAGCAGGTGTCAGGCTCTACAGATGACCACATAAGCAATTAAATGGAAAACTTCTATTACTAAAATGGAAAGAGTATTATGGGCTGGGAGGAATTAGGACATGCGGGTGAGACTTATGGTTAAGATACTTTCTATCTCAGCTTCCCTTTTGTAATAGGGGCTCTCTTTATCCGAAACAGATATTGTAGCCCTCACTGCTACATGGCCGGTGCATCCAGGTCTTATTTGGCCCTTAGAAACTCTTTGCTTGCTTCTGTGTGTGTGTGTTGGCAGGGTGTGTGTGATAGAATAATCAAAGCAGCAGAGATTGCTAGTCAGTCTTTTATCTTGTTTTCCATTTGTCTTCCGATCTCCCCTGTTACCCAGGTGGATAAATAGAAAGTTAACATTTTGTTTGCCAATCTGCAAGTGGTCAAATGTATCTTTATCAAAATAAAGATACTTGGCATAATTCTGAAATAAACTACTGACTTTGGTAGCTCCAGTGCTATGAGAGAGAATAGAAAGACCCAGACAAATGCTATACTGAGTAAGTAAGTGAAATGTTTAGTCTATTGATTTAATTATGCTCAGAAATCTACTGAGTTTATTTCCTTGTGCTGAGCAATGAACCATCCACTCGGCTCTTTCACTCATGCTCAGAGTTCTCTTGTTTATTGTAGGGCAGATTCTCTGCAGATGTTTGTTTAGTGCTTTGCATTTAACTAAATCCTCATTGAAATACCCACCCATAGTGCGACAAACAGAACAGACAATAATCCGCTCCTGTCCAATTTTCCTTGTCAGGGTTGTCTACAGAAAATAATGGTAACACTTCAAAGGAGATTTGGAATGTGTCAGATGCACAAAAAGAGCTGCGTGCTCATTTGCAGAATGGGCCATAACATGCAAACCCGGGGCCTTGAAACACATCATTTCAGATGGCAAAGCTATTGATAAGATAATGAAGCAAGCAATAGCCTAATGGGATATGGATAAACATTTTCTGAGTTGTTTCATGTTTTATTTGGCAATGCTGTACCCATACGTGATTTTGTGTCTGAGCACAGCATGGCATTATGAAGGCCAGTCTGAAAATGTGTGATTCGGGTCTGTATTAGTCACTTTAGGGCAGCTACAAGGGAACTGGTACTGACTAGCCACCAGGCCCTTTTATGCTCATCACAACTCACTAAGGTGGGTCTTGGTAGAAATAACTGATTTTTTTTCTAAGGGCATGAGCTT